TACCATATTAACATCATCGTACCTCCACTTTTGGTTGACTACAGTTGTTTAAACATCCTTCATCCTTAACTATACCAAAGATTGGTCATCACCACGGACACCAGCCTCACCAGCTGGGGGGCCCACATAAGTCATCTCGTTGTTCAAGGCAAGTGGTCCCCGACAGAGTCATCCTATAGCATCAACTTTCTGGAACTGCGAGGTTGGCCCTACGACACTTCCACCAGTCCATCCGCCATCGTCACGTACTATTGATGACGGACAATGTGGCCACCGCCTTGCACATCAACCGCCAGGGTGGCACCAGATCCCAAGAAACTGATGAGGGAAGCGGAGACCCTGGGCCGCTGGGCGGAAAGTCATTTGGCGTCCCTCCGCTCCGACCACATCTCGGGAGTGGACAACACCCAGGAGGACTGGTTAAGCAGGACCACCATAGATTCCTCAGAGTGGCGGCTTGACCCTGTGTCATCCACCCGGACAGGGTTGTCTTACGACTGGACCCCGCTTTTGTTCCAAAAATGAACACTTGGTTCCACAGGGCGCAAGAAATCATCCTCCCTAACTTTTGCCCACGTCCGTCGCATCCTAGTGAGCACTCCTGGCACAAACTGGACGTTAGATGGGCTCTGAAGGTCTACACCACCCGTACCTCGGAGTTCCGCAAGTCAGAGGCCCTCTTCATTTCATTTCATTCCAGCCAGGCTCCTTGGACAAGAAGGTCTCGTCTCCCACGGTAGGCTAAGGGCGTGCGTCGCTTCTGCCTACGAGAGCCAGTCCAGGGTAGTGCCCAGGCACATTACCGCCCACTCTACGAGGAGCACGGCCACCTCAGCAGCCTGGGCCACCCAGGCCTTGATAGACAATATCTGTAGGGCGGCTACTTGGTCTTCTCCGTCGCCCTTCGTCAAGAATTACAAACTGGACGTGTTTGCCTCAGCTGAGGCTTCTTTTGGCAGGAGGGTGCTCCAGGCAGTTATCTCTGCGACCGAATCCCGGGACTCTGCTTCTATCCGCCCAGATGGACAATAACTTGGGTATGTCCCATTGCTTGGACTCTCCAAGCGGTGCACAGGAAAAAAGACCATTGGCTTTCCTGAAGGGTCCTTTTCTGTGCACCGCAGGAGAGTCCAACCCGCCCTGGATGATCTGTCCAGAGATTCGTGGTCTTCGTGTCAACCGGAACTGATCATTCTTGGACGCTTCTGCTCCATCCTCACGGTTCCAAACCATCTCAAAATTCTGGGGAGTGGCCACACCAGGAGGTGTGGTCAGGAAAAAAGTTCCCCAGTCCCAGGGCAACCAGACTGAATTAACCCATTGCTTGGACTCTCCCGTGGTGCGCAGAAAAGGACCCTTCAGGTAAGCCAATGTTCTATCTATGAAACTGCAAATTTCATTATTTTGCTAATTGAACTCCTCTTTTGCTGGGAGTTAATTTTCTGTCTTCATCCAGAAAGCAGGTTTCTCCTATGTTTTAAAGAATTGCCAGTTTTCTGGAAAAAAGTGGCATCTAGATTTAGGTAGGAAATAAACTTTGCTTGGCTTTTATTCACCATTAAATATTCTTTCAATGAGACTTCATTCTGAATATTATAAATGAAGGGTTTCACTAATTTGAGAGTTTCATTAATTTGAGAGTTTCATTGTTAATTCCTCCTGCCTGTTCGCTTTCAGCGAGGAAACAATGGACAAGAAAACTAATTAAGGTTTTATTCTGCAGAGAGAGAGGGGGGACTGGGGGGACTTGGTTTCCATTGATAATTGGCTTCTTTGCTCTCCTAAAAAGAAGAAAGATGAAAGAGTAAAAAATGGAGATGGAAAATACTGTAGTTGAAGTCTTAAATTGATGGAGCCTATCCTAAACTCTCTTCCCAGTGTTCTTTAGATTCTTCATAGTAGATCTGAATGAAACATGACATTTTTATGTGTCCCTTAAGGTTGGCAACCCTTAAAGGAGAACTTCTGACAAAAATAAATATTTTTTTATTTGTAAGGCTCAGTTTCAGACTTATCACAACATACTTTCACATTTTGATACGTTAAGTGGAAACAACACAAATATCAAATTAAAATATCATGATCTTTTAAATATAAACCTTGGGCTAATCAATTTCTCTCATTCTAACTCATCTCACAAACTTGTTGTATGAAAAATATATACAAGGAAAGGTGTGTTGGATATGTTTGCGGCCTTGAGTTATTTGTAAACATAATAAAGGTGGCGTACAAATAAATCAGTTTTACTGAAAACGTTCTCTCTCTGAAATCTCTTTTCCAAAACTTTCTCTTGCTTGTTTTATTCTTCACTCAGGTTGGTGAAAATGATGGCCACGAGAGAAATTATCCTCCTCAGCTTATTCACTGCTTTGCATGTCCTTGCTGTTTCCTCCTCTTTAGCGTAAGAGATGGATGTCTGCAGCATATGTCTGGGAAAAAACATTTTTCTCAGGCTTTTAAATTGAACGGTATGTTTGACACGCACATATTTTTCTCTCTGATGTAAGTGGGTAATGAATAGATGGTTGGCTTATATTTTAATCTATGGTTACAAAGCTGCAGTATGTTCGAAAATTATTTTAGCAATAGCAGTTAGACTTATATACCGCTTCATAGGGCTTTCAGCCATCTCTAAGCAGTTTACAGAGTCAGCATATTGCCCCCAACAATCCGGGTCCTCATTTTACCCACCTCGGAAGGATGGAAGGCTGAGTCAACC